AACTCCATATGGTTCGGAACCACGAAAGAGGATCGGAGATGATGGTACAAAGTGAGTCATGGAGTCACATTCGCCCGTATTGGCCTCTACTCGATTCTTATAGTGAAATGTATTCCTTGCGATCTCAAAGGCATGCAAACAAAGATTTAATTTGCTCCAAACTATAGTTATGCTAAATTGGTTGAATATTAATGTAACATATTTTTTTTAAAATATTTGTGATCACTTAATTAAACATCAAGATTAAAAAGAAATCTAAGCCAGTTGTCCAAATTACCTTATTAGTCGTGTTTTTCAATTACATATTCCCTTTAACATGTAATGTGGTGATCAATAAATATAATAAAATAAACGTCAATATTGGAAGCAATTCAACAACAATTGTTAGTCAAATCAAATAATAATAAACCCTAATCATGATACTAGCAATAAAGAATAAAAATAAGAGTAATTAAGTGATTAATTACTCACATTCCGCGTTTCCTTGAATTGCTAGATCATGAATAAACTGTTAGTGACATTAATAAAAATATAAATTAAATTTAAAGTAGAGTTGATTTGGTCCAAATCCTCACTTAATTATACCTTTCAAGCCTTGGTTTAAAGACGGAACCTCAGGTCAAGTATGGACTCCTTGGAGTGCTTATGGGAAGTATTATGAAAGCATAGGGTGACTAGTGTTTAGGGTAAAACAAAAGAGAATGAGAGAAGAGAATGATATTTGGTAAAAAGGGAGAGAGAATGATTTTTTGGTGCCTAGAACTGCAAAAACGGGGTTTTTATTTATAGAGGAAATGAGTAGGGGATCACACGGAACACTAAAAAAGAGAAAAACCCTAATTTTGGGTACCGTGACATGGTCACTGGGCACTGTGCCATGATATTACCTAATGTGGCGTGGCACAAAGTTTTGTCCTAAATGATAAAACACGTGAAGTATATATGGTACGCGGAGAGATCGCAGAATTTTCCCGTGACAAGAGAAAGGACACCGCAACGCGACATTGTCCACCATGGCGCGACACATGGCGTCGTGTCACGGTGTACATCTGTAACACCCTAGAAATTCCTTTCTTTTAAATTCCCACTTTACTTTTTAAAATACGATTTAGGAATATCTAAGACATTACCGCCACCGTAAAAACGGCTAAGGCAACTATCAAAGATACACAACGGAAGACTTTAAATTAAAAACCGTTTAAACAAGTCAACTCAAAAGTCAACCAAATGAAAGTAAAGTTTAAAACCAAACAAACAAAGTCAAATAAAATCAAACTACAACTTGGAACCATTAAAGGCCCTTATTGAAAACCGTTCCCAAAACCAAGCCTTCGCATTAGTCCACATGAAAAGTATCATAAATAAACAAAACATAAAACACATCGTAAACTATTGGAAACTAGCATGATTCACTCTTCACTCATGCCCCGTCATGAATATTCTTCAATACCTGAAAAGTTTATCTCTACTTGTCCCCACTACACTCAATTAAAAATGGATCATAGGGCCAACATAAAGACATGGCCAAACACACAAACACACACAATCAGAAAAGCTGAGTACGTAAGCGTAATTAAACACACTAACATGATTTCACCTATCAACACACACTTACCTCATTTAGCGTTGATTACACATCGAACGGGTTTTCAACTATACCTCCCCCAAATAAATTAAGGTTAACTGACACGGGAGCTAACCGTGCCAGCGACAAAACCACTCAAAGGTGGCGGAATTCCTGCGCATAATAATAAATAAAAAGGAATGTACAACGTCATGTACTCCATTAGAAGTTATGGTTAAAAATAAAACCCCATAACTCCCCCCATTGTTCGTACTCAAGATATATATGTTCCAAGAGTTTTAGTGTGCAATCTCTTTCACTTTACGTTATTTACATGTTACTGGACTTGGTGATGACTCTCAAAGCATAACAAATCAATCAACAATAATTATTCAATCAACCAAACATACCAATTTAATTCTTGAATAATTAGTGACCACATATTATTTAATGTTGAACCCTTTTTAATTCTACCTCAGTGTCAAAGACACCTTAGACGCATAAAGGGCCAAAAATCCTATCCCTCGGTGTTAAAAACACCTTAAGTGCACAAAGGCACCAACATACAATTTATTCCTTGTGTACATAGACACTTATATAGCTCCTTCCTCATGCTTAAAGCATCAATAAAAATTATTTGAACCATAATAAAATTCCTTTTCAATATTCCAAACATAACTAAGCATGCCATAAATAAAAGTGTGGTTCAAACACAACATGCCAAACATTAATTTTCCAACTATTAATCCATCTCAAATAAATCATGATTTCTAATTTAATCACCAATATCAATAATCCACAATTTCCAATCATAAATCTTAGCATGGTACTATTTAGGATTAATTAAATCAAGCCTATCATGATACTACATCACCAAAAATATGCTAAGTACGCGAACGTACCTTGAGTACGATTTTAAAATTGCCACGACTAGTAGAAATTGCTTATTTCAAAGTTTCCTACACATTAAAATCATAATAGAGTACTAAAATCCACTCTAAACAAATTTCCAGCAATATATACTATTTTAAAACCCCTCATAATTTAATTAAAGTAAGTTGAAATTATATTTAAAACAACATAATTAAGTCCTAATTAATGGGTAATTAAAATTTCTTCAAGAAACATAATGTTAAGTGTTCTACATAAAATTCCAGCACTTTATTTTAGTTAAAACTTGTTGTAATTAAGGCTTAAAACACTTAAAACAAAGGTGTACCCCAATATAAATCATAATCCTTCAATAACTCATAAATCAAGAACCTAGGGTTTCAAAATTTAGGGCTTTTTAATTAAAAACCGAATCTGAAAATTAATTAACATAATTATAATAATCAAGCATCAAAATTAAATCCCAAAACTCATAATTTAAAATTTGATTAAAGCATATATTAAATTTGAGCAAGAAAGATTTGATTTTTAAATATTTTTTTTTCGAAACCCACGACTGCCAACAGCAGGCCGACGCCATTGCCGGCTGCTGCCAGCACTGGTGGTCGCCGCTGCTGCCGGCTGGGTGGCTGGTAGTCAGCGGCCTACCGGTGGTGGTGGTTTCCGGTGGTGGTGGTGCGAAAACAAAAGGGGAGGGGAAGGAGAAAGAAAAAGAAAAGGAAAGAAGTAAAATAAGGAAAAAAAGGAGAGAAGTTTACCTTTGGTTTTCTCCACTCTGGGTAAAGTTGAATTGCCTCATAAGAGGGATATTTATACCCCTTCTCTATCACCCTTTTACCCTAAACTTTTCTCCTTTAGTTTTTCCTAATCCCTTCCCTACTAAAACTTGTTAAAATCATAATTTCCTAAAATTAAACCCCAACTTTTATTAAATAAATAATTAAACAAACTTTCCTTTAGTAAAAATATTTCCAAACTTACATAGGATAAATAATTAAAACACCATAATTAAAACGGAAATTTCATGAAATGCCCCTAAGTAATTTTTTTATTCACCAAATACCCATCAAAACTTTTAAATTCACCAAATACACTTGAGTTTAAAAAAATTTCACCAAATGCCCTTAATGACTAATGACAGTTAACACCGTTACTCATTAATGACTAATATGCCACGTGGCAGCCTCTAATTGATTGTTGTAATATAAATAAATTAATTATTAAAAAAACTTTAAAAATATATATAAAAAAAAACCCACCACCCCCAAGACCCACCCCCGCCCCACCTCATCACCTGCCAGACGGCGCCGGCGGCGGCCGCCAGCTCCCAGCTGGAACCGGCGCCGGTCTCTGGTGAGTCCAGCCCCCACACCCTCGACACCCCCTCCCCTACCCCAAGCCCCCTCTCCCTCTGTTTCCCCTCCCCTTAAACCCCTCCCCATCCCTCGAAACCCCCCCCCCCCCTTCGCGGCCAGCGTCAAAACCCCCTCCCCTGCGCCGGCGAACCTTTTTCTCCCTACCCCCCGCCATCCCTACCCCATTTCCACCCTAAACCACCACCAAAAAACCCCTTAAACCCCTTAATCGAAAAAACCCCAAATCAAAATCTAGGGTTTCGATTTGGGGGTTTTTCGGTTTTTTGGGTGGTGGTTTAGGGTGGAAATGGGGTGGGGATGGCGGGGGGTGGGGCGAAAAAGGGTTCTCTGGCGCTGGGGAGGGGGTTTGGACGCCGGCCGTGAAGGAGGGGGGTTTTTCGAGGGATGGGGATGGGGATGGGTTTAAGGGGAGAGGAAACGGAGGGAGAGGGGGCTGGGGGTATGGAAGGGGGTGTCGAGGGTGGGGGTTGGCCTCGCCGGCGACCGGCGCCGGTTTCGGCTAGGGGGAGGGGCACCACCGGCGCCGACGGCCGCTGGCAGGGGTTGGCTTTGGTAGGGGAGGGGGTGGTTGGGGGTAGGTTTAATTTTTTTTATATTAATTAAGTAATTAATTAAATTAATTGATTAATTATTTAAAAGAGAACCAATTGCAGCATGCCACGTGGCATAATTAACCTTAATGACTAACGGAATTAACCGCCGTTGGTCATTAAGGGCATTTGGTGACATTTTTCTTAAACTCAAGTGTATTTGGTGAATTTGAAAGTTTTGATGGGTATTTAGTGAATAAAAAAATTACTCAGGGGCATTTCATGAAATTTTCGTAATTAAAATATTAAAATTATTTAAATACCCTTATAAAATACATATTTTAAATAAAATACATATAAAAATACGGGGTATTACAGTCTACCCCCCTTAAAAAAAGTTTCGTCCCGAAACTTGGGAAACAAAATTCAAAACTTTTCCTCTTTATGTATAGTATTGCTGTACTTTTGTCATTCCATTACTCCTTTGTGTCTCTTTGACAGCACTAATACTCAAAAATACTTAATAGAATTTGTGCAAAAAGCACCAAAAATATGTAAAATATAAGGAAAAGGCGCGAAATTCTATCGCATTCTACCCCCCTTAAAGAAAACGAGTTACGCCCCCGTAACTCAACATACCTAAAACAGCTCCGGGTATTTCTTTTTCATTTCATCTTCTGCCTCCAAAGTGACTTCCTGATAATCTTGGTTAGACCAAAGTACTTTCACAATGTTAACGTTCTTATTGCGTGTACTACGCACTTTACTGTCAAGAATCTTGACATGTCTCTCCTCATAAGTTAAGCTTTGATCTAACTCAATGGTTTCGGATTGTAGCACATGGGATTTATCAGGAATGTACCTTCTTAATTGGGATACATAAAATACATCATGTACTTTACTAAGCTCCATAGGTAAGGCTAACCTATAAGCTACTTTGCCTAATCTTTGTAGTATTTCATATGGACCAATGTATTTTTAACTGATCTTTCCTTTCTTTCCAAACCTCATCACTTCTTTCATTGGTGACACCTTTAACAACACTTTATCACCAATCCCAAATTCTTCTTCCCTTCGCTTTAAGTCTGCATAGCTCTTTTGGCGATCTTGAGCTGCTTGAATTTTAGCTTGAATTTCCCTTACTTGCTTAACTGTATCTTCAATCATTTGAGGCCCTAGGATCATAGTTTCACTAGTGTCGTTCCAACAAATTGGACTGCGACATTTCCTCCCATACAAAGCCTCAAATGGTGTCATTCCTATGCTTGCATGGTAACTATTATTGTAGGAAAATTCAATTAAATCCAAGTTATCTTCCCATCCCCCCTAGAAGTCTATTACACAAGCTCTCAACATGTCCTCCAATGTTTGAATGGTTCTCTCAGTTTTCCCATCTGTGGCAGGGTGAAATGTCGTACTCATCTTAAGTGTTATACCAAAATTTTCTTGTACACTTTTCAAGAATTTTGAGAGAAACCTGGAATCTCTGTCAGATACTATATCTTTTGGAACCCCATGTAACCTCACAACGTGTTTGTTGTAAGCTTTCGCAAGTTTCTCCATCTTCCAAGTTTCTTTCATTTGTATAAACACTGCTGATTTTGTAAGTCTATCCACCGCTACCCAAATGGCATCATTTCCACTCTTTGACTTAGGAAGGCAAGTCACAAAATCCTTTGAAATGCAATCCCATTTCCATAGTGGAATCTCTAACGACTGCACCGTCCCATGAGGCCTCTTGTGCTCTATCTTCACCTTTTGACATGTTAAACACTTTGCCACAAACTCAGCAACCTCATTTTTCATTCTAGGCCACCAAAACATCTTCTTCAAATCCTTATATAGCTTGTCTCCTCTCGGGTGTAATGAGTAATGTGTATTGTGGCCTTCTTCCATCAACTTTCTCTTTACTTCCTCACATTTCAGTGGTACGCACCATCGATATTTGTACCTCAAACTCCCATCTTCGTGAATCTTGAATTCTATAGTTTTTCCCTACTTAATTTTCTCGCGAATCCTATCCAACTTTACATCTCCCTCTTGGTTGGCTAAAATCTCGTCGAATACTGTTGGTTGGATGCTTATACTCGCAAGAATACCCGCTGGTACTCCCCATTCTACAACCTCTAAATTAAATTTCATCATTTCCCTACATAACTCATTAGCTACTACTAACGACTTTATTCCATGACTAGTTTTACGACTTAGAGCATCCGCAACTACATTCGCTTTCCCTTCGTGGTATTGTATGTCTAAATCATAATCCGTCGTATACTCTAACCATCTCTTTTGACGAGAGTTCAAGTCCTTTTGGGTGAAAATGTACTTTAAGATTTTATGGTCTGTGTAAATTCTACATTTCACTCCATACAAATAATGGCGCCAAATTTTTAGTGCAAAAATGATTGCAGCTAATTTCAAATCATAGGTTGGATAGTTTACTTCGTGGGTCTTTAACTGCCTCGATGCATATGCAATCACCTTCCCATTTTGCATAAGCACACACCCTAAACCATTCTTTGATGCATCGCTATACACATCATACAGTCCACTATCATCCAGAAGTGTAAGCACTAGTGCTGTAATTAGTTTGTGTTTCAAGAGTTGGAACGCCTCTTCACACCTATCGTCCCACTCAAACTTCTTGTCCTTCTTCATCAAGGTGGTCATAGGTTTAGAAATCTTGGAAAAATCCTTGACGAAACGCCTATAATACCCTGCTAAACCTAAGAAACTTCGCACATCAGATACTGTCTTGGGTGTAGGCCAACTCTTAACAGCTTCTATCTTGGCTGGGTCTACCTCTACTCCGTCCTTGGACACGAAATGTCCCAAGAAGGCTACCTTTTTCAACCAAAACTCACACTTAGAGAATTTTGCATAAAGGTGGTTTTCTCTTAGTGTTTGCAGAATTTCCCTTAGGTGTTCTGCGTGCTCTTCCTTGCTCTTTGAGTACACCAATATATCATCTATGAACACTACTACAAACTTATCCATAAATTGATGAAACACCCTATTCATCAAATCCATAAAGATTGTTGGAGCGTTTGTCAATCCAAAAGGCATAACTGTAAACTCGTAGTGTCCATATCTTGTCTTAAATGCGGTTTTAGGGATGTCCTCGTCGGCAATCCTCAATTGGTGATACCCTGATCTCAAGTCGATCTTTGAAAACACTGTGGCACCCTTTAATTGGTCAAACAAATCATCGATTCTTGGTAAGGGATACTTATTCTTTATGGTTACTTTATTTAGTTCTCTGTAGTCAATACACAACCTCATACTTCCATACTTCTTTTTCACGAATAGAACTGGCGCTCCCCAAGGAGAAGCACTTGGTCTAATGTATCCCTTTTCCAATAAATCTTGCAATTGCTCCTTTAATTCACTCATTTCTGCAGGTGCCATTCGATATGGTGCCTTGGATATTAGGGCTGTTCTTGGAACTAAATCTATGGTAAAGTCGATTGCCCTCTTAGGTGGAATTCCAGGAATCTCCTCTAGAAATACAACAAGGAATTCATTGACTACTTCTATATTTTCTGGATTTGTTACTTGTTCGTGGACCATATTCCTAACACTACAGAAATATACTAGATGTCCCTTCTTAATGTATTTTGCTAATTTTAGCACTGATATTAACCTAGGGCACTTGGTTTTACCATTCATCCAGTAAGTCACTGATTCATTTCCGCTTGTGACCATCTTCACTTTCTGTGATCTACAACTAATCTCAGCATTATACTTACTCAACCAGTCCATTCCCAGAATAAGATCAAAGTCACGCATCCCAAACTGAATAAGGTCAGACGGGAATATCTTTCCTTCTATTTCTAAAGGCACATTTCTAAAGGTTTTGGTACATTTCGCTACCCCACCTGTCGGAATGGTTATGGGTAAATCTACTACTTCTACTGTCTTTAAACGGTCTTTAAGTTTTCAAACAATACCCTTAGAAACAAAAATGTTGCACCATAATCAAACAATACTTTAACAGGAATAGAGTTAATAGAAAAAGTACCATTGATAACATCTTTCGTGGCATCCGCCTCATGCCTACTTAGAACGTTCAGTTTCCCTGCAGGTCCACCTTTCTGTTGGCTATTCCTACTTATGGTGTTACTTTTCTTCGCCCCATTCTGTTGCACTCCCTTATTCCCAGTAAAGTTGTTGTTGTTCCCCTGGAAATTCCTCTGGTTTCCACCTGAATTATTGTTGTTTTGCCTGTTCCCATTGCAATTCTTAGAGAAACACTCATACTCCCTATGCCCAAGTTTTTTACAAACACGACAAGTGACCAAATTGCCCTCGCAATACTTTCCAGGGTGGTTATTTCTACACCTCTTGCAAAAATAAATCCTCCCATTCTTGTTATTCCCCTGGTTATTGTTTCTAGCCCCTCCATTGTTGTTATGGGTTTCCCTGACGGTTATTACCCTGGAAATTATTATTGTTGTGAAAGTTATTGTTATGGTGGTACTTCTACTTCTTAAAACCATTCTGGTTTTCCTGCTGGTTTCTAGAAACCTGCCCCACTTCCTTCCTCTTCTCTCTTCCTTCTATTTCAGCTAACTCCTTTTTCTTCTTCTCCTCCAATGCATAAAGGTGTGCGGCCCTTCCATATACTTCATCCAAGGTCTCAAATACTTGCCCGCACAGCTTTAACTGCAAATCAGTAGTTAAACCACTCTCAAACTTCCTAGATTTTGCTTTCTCCGTAGCGACAGACTCTTAAGCAAAACGGGACAACTCAATAAACTTGTTGTAGTATTCCGTAACTGACATCCTTTCCATCTTAAGGTTTGAGAATTCCTCAGCTTTCTACTTCTGCAAAAAGCTAGGATAAAACTTGTCTCTCACTTTCTCTTGGAATTTAGTCCAATTGAACCCAGGTAGCGCTCTAATGGTAGTCTCATTTTGTTGCCACCAAAGGTCAGCTTCACCCCTCAGATAGTAAGTAGCACAACTCACTTTTGAGTTTTCAGGGCATCCCACAACTCTAAATAGTTTCTCAAATTCCCTCAACCAGTTTTCCAATATGGTAGGGTCAGGCTCCCCTTGATATGTTGGTGGCTTACTTTGGCCACCTTCTTAAAGAGCTCCCCCTGAGCATCCCCATTACCAGTTGAGTTTCTTGCCAATTGTTGGGCAACTGCTGCCAATTGCCTCACTACTTCATTCAAATCGTTTCCACCATTACCAGAACCTCTTCCCCCTGCCATTTTGCTTCTCCTGAATTAAGGACAAGGGTCTATATTAGAAATGGCTAAGGTTAGTTCTCAAGACATACACCCATCTATTACCTAGCACTCTTTAAACATTCACAGTAAAATTTAAAGCTAACAAATTGGGATAGCGAAAGCTAAGAATTCCCTAAATTTTTAGCTTTGTCAATCCATTATTGATTGCTTACCAACCATACATTTAATAAAGCATCACATAGATAAAAAAAAATAATTCCCATAGATGCCCATAGCTTAGAAATATTTATTGGAATTAAGTTTCTTGGAATTTTGGCTATTGGAATAGGGATGTGAAATGGGAGATTTGGAAAATAAATAAATTTTTTTATTAGTAATAAATATAAAAAAAAAATTTGACAAGGAAATAAATGAGGTCTTATTAATTAAAATAGACTGAAATTACTAAAGTAAAAATTGTTTCCTAGAAACTTGTGTGTTCATGCCACTTAATAATTTAAAACTAAAATAATAATAACTAAAATAAAGACTGTGAATTCATGACGAGGAAAGTTATAAATCTAATCCTTTCAAACGTTGTCCCGTTTGTCAGTGGATTGTTTGTAACTTGAAAAATCAAAATCAGAGTCATTTGACTCCTCCATTGGTTCAGGTGACTCAGGTTCGGGTTCTACTTGTACAAACTCCCCTTCTTCCTCCTTGTAGGGAATAATTTCAAGCCTTTAAAATCCCACTAGCTTGAACCCCACTGTGATCATACACTAAAGTACGGTGGCGTCCAAAAGGGAAGAAGATAGAGCAAAAGAGTCGCCAACAAGTTTTTAAGGAACTTGTAAACCGTTCATAGGATGAAGTTTACACCCCTTAACGATCCAAGAGATCGTCAACTCCATAAGGTCATGAACCAAATCCAACCTAAAAGAGATTGAACCTGTCCTAATAATAGGCCTCTACTTTATTCTGATCGTATTCATGTGCGCTTTCCGATTAACATGCAATCAATAGGATTAACCCTAAACCTATTTATCTATGTTGGTTGAATATTAATGCACAAAC